GAAGATTTCAACTCATCTATTGTTGTTGTGACACCTCAAAACATTTGGATATCCTATCACCTTTGGTAGCGGAGACAATAGTCTCCAGGACCAATAGAGAGTGTAAATCTCCGCAGCCTGAACACCTGACCGAGGTTCTAACCTTAACACATTCTGGGTGGCGGACCTAATAACCAAAGGGCCCTGGTGCAAGATTTTATCTTTGGCCCACCTCCCCCAAACCCCCACCTGCTGACGAGCCTTCAGTAAGTAACAAGCAGTAAGGAGAAACTCCCCACAAACAGAGAGGGGGCGGGTACTCTGTCCTTCAATGGACTTCAATGGAAAAGGATGTTACGGCGAGTATAAAAATTCTATTTTCTCTTTCGTTCATTGAAGGAAGTGTGGCAATCTTGAACCACAGGGACATCTCAAAGCAGTATAAAATGAGGAGTGGGCATAGAAGCAATTCCCCCCTAAAACACAACCATCTACAGGGCCGTCTGCCAAACATTGTGCCCAAAAGTTAGATGTGCAGACGCCAACACATCAACCTTATAGAAGTTTGAAAAGGTGAACAGAAGACCCAAGTGGCTGCTGAACAAATCTAAGAAACAAAGCACTATGACAAAAAGTCCAGGACGCCCCAAGCGCGCTAGTAGAATGAGCTAGGACAGGAAGAGGAAGTTCCTGACCTCTGATAGCAGAAGCCTGAGTGGTGGTAGTGCGGATCCATTGTGAGAAGGTAGCAGAAAACGCAGTGTGGCCCTTCCGAGGACCATCTGTCTCACAAAAAGATGCCGTGGCATCCAGGTAAACACGAAAGGCACAAATGACATCCAGACCATGGAGGGCTCTCTCTTTCCGACAAACCGGCTTCGGACACAAGGAAGGCAAAACAATGTCCTCATAAAGAAGGAAAAGACCACAAGGAAGAAAGGACGGCCGGGGTCGAAGCACAACCTACTCCCTATGTAGAACTAGAAATTATTGACTTGCCTGACAAGGCCGCCAAATCCAAAAAACCTCCTAACAGTGATGACCCCAGAACGTTACTCTTAGTGAGAAAATCAGCAAACAAATGTCCCTCATGTTCCCAGGGGGGAGTCGTGTAGAACAGAAAGCACAAGGTTTAGATCCCAGAAGGGTAACACAGGGGCCAAAACCTTGGTAAACACCCGCTGAACCGATGCCAGACCGAAAGGTAGCCCCACAATAGGGAGATGTCCTCTATTAAACCAAAGTGAAGAAAGCGCTGATGTCTCTAAAAAATAGTAGTACATGGAGATATGCATCCTTAAAGACGATGAAGGCAAACAATCCCATCCGAGTCCTTTTTGGGAACCGTGAAAATATTTGAATAAAATCCTTGATCTCTACGAGGGTGGTACCGGAATGACCACCCCTTGGTAGAAAAGGTCCGCGACGGCTCGGTGTAGATCTGCAACATGTGGAGGAAAAATACGAGTGTTGGAGGAAAACACGCTGTCCCCCGGCAGGACAGAAACTTCATGTTGTAACATATGTAGATATCAGTTAACACACCCAAGTGTCCGAAAAGTGAGACACCCACGCGGCGGGCTGACAACCATATGGAATAGGGTTTTCCCATGGGCTTGAAGGACTTGGCTTCTAGGGATGCTTGGAGATTGCAGATGTAGAGGGCTTGGAGGAGCTTTTGTCCTTATCTGTGGAAGTCGAGGGCCGTTTGCAGCCTGAACAGGATAGATCAGGTTGTAACACTGATCTTCATATTGCGTTGCTGGAGGGAACGGTCCCCCCCATTAAAGAGTTCTGCTGGGTGGACCAGCACCTAGGCCACAACGAACTGCGCAGAACAACAGCAGAAAGACTATCGGGAAACCAGAGGACCGGTTTCCATCTCCACTAAATCCCACTGAAACATTCCAGTTAGAGCATCTTTGACAGAAAACCTTAAGCCAGAGCCTGCTTATAGCTGTCATAAATGGTACTTGGCAAAATCTGGAAAGCCTCTTTATACTCTCCTATGGTGAATACTTGTAAAACAGACGAGCAATGGTTTAGAGCAAATATACCTCCTGGACTGGTGTCTTTTTTAGCTACCAGAACCAAAATCCATTCCTAATCTATAATTAGTGCTATGATGGAGCTACGTTCTCAACACACAATTACAGTGATGCATGAGAAGATAACAATCAGGTAGATAACACACATGCCTACGCTATAATGTACAGCAGGCAAATTGGTCATATTACATTTTGAAGGGGATATAGGCATCAGATTTATGGCATGTTTGGTCTTCACCAAATTGTAAGTTCATTCTGTTCATTAATATGTTGGTTGTCGGATTGTAAAACCATGCAATCTGGTAATATGGATATAGATTAAATAAGTTAAGGGAGTGGGTGCTGAAATATAATAAAGCACTTCAGCACTCTTATATCACTCCCCTCAGCCCTTTTGTTTGGGTGGAGTTTGGCTCAGTGACACCCTCTAGAGGGCCAATAGAGCTGCTGCTATTGGCATTTGCAGTACTCGTTTCACATTGAAACTGCTAAGGTTACTGGAAGAGTCTGAGCTGACTCTGCACAGGAACCAAAGAACAAGCAAACATTGATAAGTACCTTTCATTTTTAATCCTGTTTTTTTTTACTGTTAGCTTGTCCATTTTGTAATATTCTTTTTCTGTAAATATTTTCTTGCACTGGTATTTTATTTTTTTTCATTAAAACGATATTTAAAACACTCAGAGATTCAGCTTTTTTAATAAGAAATTAAAGAATATCTTTTTAAAAAAGCTACCATATTTTAAACTCCGTACATTCCTGGCTGGACATGGTGGCAAGTGTCACAGACATACCTTAAGTTTAAAATTGCTTCAGCAGATGCTGTAAACGGTGCATGTTTCCATTAAAACATGTAGTGGTGTGAGTGGAATGGGTTAACTGCAGAGTTAACTGACACTAGTGACAATCACTCTCAGTCGGCATGCACTTAGATTGTTGTCCTGCAGGATGAGGCAGTGCAGAGTGCAGGTGTCACAAGGGCTAGTGCATACCTTAAAGCATTAACCTTGTCCCACACAGCATTAACCTTATGTGTTTTGAAGAATTGTAGCTGAATTAAAGTATATACCCAACCCAAACATTTTTGTTTTAGACAGCATGGGCAAAGATTAAACCATAGGTGGGCTTTAAGTGCTATCCTGGGCTCTGTTAGAGAGATTACATACTGTCATGGTGACAATGGTTTCACCAGACAAGAAGCAAGGGACTAGCAACACAGACAGAAAAAAAAGCGGACTGGTTCCAACCTCTCACTCCTTTATAAAAAACAAAGTGTTTTTATTTCTGTCTGTGTAAAACCAACAGAGATTCTAACCCGTCCTTGCTCGATCAAAACGAAAAAAAAAAGTTTCTCTTTGACATGGACTTTAATAACAAAGAAGACCAACACACCTAAAATGCAGCATGGATGAAATATTTTCCAATGCAATGTGTGTTGTTGGAGCAGGTCCTAATGAAAACGATGGATTCTCTCAAATCCATGTGTTTTGTTTGTCCGGGAAAATGCTTGACAATGCATGTAGTGTGAACAGGTTTTACCAGAATACTTTAAAAACGACTTTGCTGCTACATCTTTAGCATGATACACAAAATTCATATGACTGTTCATATTGTAGCACCCATCACCTTTTGTGATGTGACTACTAAGCATTTAGTGATAGCTAGGGCTGTAGACAGCCTGGCTGGATTTGTAGTGGCGATTACATAGTTAATCCTGTACCTGCATGTACCCCCTGGGTGGAGTGTGACTCTGTCATATTGAGGGACAGCCAATGGTGGATACTGTAATGTATTTGCTGTACAGCAGCCAATCACTGGGTTTCTTTCAGCCAGTGGTGCATGCTGGGACAGACTACATATATTAGTGGGAGCTGCCATGTGCTCTCTCTCTCGCCTGGACCAGCCATGGATTAGGGCTGGGTCCTGTTCAGCCCTAATCAATTACAAGGTCCGGTGAGTCTGGAGCTTCTGATGGTTACCCCTAGACACCTAGAACCCCTATACCTTCTATCCCAAAAAAGATGTTCAATAAAAAGGTTCAATTAGCACCATACTACTGAAGTGGACATCAATTTATGCGCACCAGAAGTGGGCGGTTAGTGCTAATGGGCGCAGCTGGAAATCAATCCCTAGACCGACTAGATGTGGACCGGGCATACAGCGGGGAGTTATCGCTACAATATATTCTCAAATGATCAGATTAGATTATAAAAGGGTAACATATAGGGATGCACAGATACCAGTTTTTTGGTATCGAGTACAAGAACAGATTTTTTTTGGTACTCGCCGACACCAAATACCGGTGCATTGTGCCCCCCGATTATCAGGAAGATAATCTAGCGAAAGAACACCGGCTTCATTTGCCGAGGCTGCCTAGCTTCCTGACCAATCAGGAACTTGGGCAGCGAGTCATGAGGTGCCGTCTGGCTTCCTGATTGGTCAGGAAGCCAGGCTGCTTAACAACACGTGAAGCTGGCTTCCTAGCCAATCAGGAAGCCGAGCAGCACGTCATGACCTGCCTCCCGGCTTTCTGATTGGTAGCGAGCCGGCTTTACTTGTTTTTAGGTAGCCTGGCTTCCTCACCAATCAGGAAGCTGGGAGGCAGGTCATTATGCCGCCCGGCTTCCTGATTGGCCAGGAAGCCGGCTTCACATGTTGCTAAGCAGCCTGGCTTCCTTACCAATCAGGAAGCTGGGAGAAAGGAAGTTGGCCCTAGGCACTGCTGGTCAGAGGGAGATCTCCCTCTGACTGGAAGTTGCGGTAAGTTTTGGAGCATTTGGGCGAGTATGAGTACTCGCCCAAATACTCGGTATCGGCAACAATACTGATACTAGTAGTAGTGTCCGTGCATCCCTAGTAAAATACATTTTGCTTAAGGATTCTAATAGAATAGAATATCTTCTATTATTAAGAGATATGATCTTCAAACTTCAAATAAAAATAACAAATAAATAAAAACTATATATCACATACCTAAGTATTTGTAGTTCCTGTTGAGAATTTTTAAGTTCATCACTAAGGCGGCACCATCGAAGAAGAGCTTTTAACTCATGTTGCTCCCTGGCTTCCTCTTCTGATAGCTGTTAAGAAAGAAGAACATCAGCATCCGTGTCATTACAGGATATTTACCACAAAGCAGTCTTCTATATTGTTTTAGGACAGATTTTAAGAGAGATAATAGTGTTTAGGACATTTACTCTGACAATTAAGGTAAAGGGGGCATTTACCCTGACCATCAACCTAACAGGGCCATTTACGCTTACCATTAATGTAACAGGGGATTCTACACTGGTCACCAATGTAACAGAACCATTTACACTGGAACCAATGTATTGGCAGTATTTAAACTGTCCACTTATGTAATGACAGGACTGGCTACCAATGTAACAGGTATATTTAAACTGCTCACCAACTAACCAAGAGGGGTATTTACAGTAAACACCAGTGAAACACAAGTATATAATAGTTATCAGTGTAAATACAGCTATTACAGTATAAATGCACCTGTTACAATGGTGGTAAGTGTAAACGATTCCTTATATTGGCAGTCAATGGGAGAAGGGCCACCTTATTTTGTGGTCAGTGGGGGTGTCCCCCTATATTGGTGATCAGGGACAGAAGAGTCATCTTGCAATTGTCACTTGGACAAGGGCCCTTTACCATTGGTGTTAGTGAAATAAGGACCCCCCATTTACTGGTGTTCTGTGACTAGTAGCCTCAAGAATGAGCTGCAGTGGAGATGCAGAGGCTGCCATCAGCTACGTTGTAGGGATGTTGGTAAGTTTAGAAAATGGTCAAAGAACTTTAAATTACTTAAAAGCACCCTCACTATCTGTGGTCCTGTGGCCTATTGCAGGTAGGGGCAGTCTGTTCCTATAATATGTCCCTGGAACTGAGAGGCCTCTTGTGCACCTGCACAGGTGAAAAATCCCCTGCAAGCTTACAGAGTTCAAAAGCTCAAATTTACAAACATAACTGAATGGGTCATCTTCTCTCACTACCTACTCTGTTCACATGGGGCTGTATGAAGTTTGAATCAGAGAGAGAGTCTAAATACATATGGCTTCTTCTCTGCAAAATCCAGAATATTATGTGGAACAAGTGTCATGGGTGCATTCCATATTAGTTATTTATTTGTAAAATAAAGATTTTATATAAAATAATAAAAATATACAAAAAAGTATCAAATTAAAAAAAAAAAAAACCTGACCCCAAACCATTATAGATTCCTTTTTGAGCAGGACCTCTAAATTTAAAAAAAGGGACTAACAGTTAAAGCAGACTTATGAGTAACTTTGCAAGCCTTCAAGAATACATGTCTGACATTCTGCAAAATATATAAACTTAATAAATTTAACGGTTTAAAAAAATTGCCCCTTTAATTCTGAAAATGCTATTATTTAACTCTAACTATAGGCTCAGTATCTCAATGCATGGCAATTTCTTAGTCTCCCCCCTCTGTTATCACTCTGACTCTGACTGTATGCTGAGTTTATTAGATGAGAGGCTGCAGCAGGGAGGCTGAATTGTAGGAGACATGTACAGTACACATGTATCTTCTTTGGGCTGGCCACTTCAACCAGGCAATAGATGCTGACCCTGGATGATGTCTGACTAAAGTTAGGGTCAGCCTTCTAGGAAGAGAGAAAGTTGATGGCATTGTCAAGGGGAGTTGAGTGATGACAACAGATAAAATACCCAAAAGTGTTATACTCACACTTTACTTAGAATGCCTGTTTCATAAAATATATATCTTAGGGTAGCACAGTGACGTAGTGGTTAGCACTTCTCTCTTGCAGCATTGAGGGTCCCTGGCTCGAATCCTGGCCAGATCACTACCTGCAAGGAGTTTGCATGTTCTCCCTGTGCTTGCGTGGGTTTCCTCCGGGTACTCCGGTTTCCTCCCACACTCCAAAGACATGCTGGAAGGTTAACTGGCTCCTGTCTAAATTGGCCCTTTTATGTAGGCATGTGAGATAGGAATCTTAGATTGTAAGCTCCTTGAGGGCAGGGACTGATGTGAATGTGTGCTGCGTAAACTGTTGGCGCTATATAAATACCTGTAATAAATAAATATTATCTGAGATTAGGTCTGCTTTTATGACCATTCCCTTGACTGTGGATGTTACGAAAAAAGAGCAGTAAATAATACCCAAGATGAAGTAAGTTAGCATGACCTAGACTTTCTTGATCATACTTTAAAAGAAAATTTCATTTTTAGTAACACTTTCTGAATTAAATTAAAATGCCTCATTGTGCTCATTCTCTGCAGACTGCACTATGACATTATTGTTGTTTTGGGGAAAAATAATCACTCAAAATCTACATTTCCTGCCAGTACAATTAAAAGCAGAGTCAAAAATACTACATTTTGTATTTATAGCACACAATACCACGCTAGAGGATAATGGAAACAATTTGTGCAGTTAAAAGGGAGAAAGGATGGAGCCTTTCCATGTACTTGCTAAATGTGGGATGGTGTGGCGATGTTGCTCTCAGATAACATTTGTGTTTGAAAATGAGGACAGCCAACAGATGTTTTGCCCTGGCTGCCTCCCCTTCTGTGTACTTATCAGAAAGCAGTGTTCTGTCAGTTCAATTTTACAGAATATTTGACAGTTTTTATGTGTTTGCAATCTATATAATTAATACAAAATATATCAATTTCAGTTAATTTTCTATTTTTACAGCAATTTCAAGCAAAGAGAAAATGTAATGCTATGCAGAAAACACTGCAACCAACTTTCCTCAAGTCAGAAAGGTAAACTTTTTAGCCTTGTATATCTCATAACTTCTCCAATGTATGTAGGTATTCTTTAAATGACAATTGTTCTAAACAGCTTTTAGTGTGGGGCCTGGACAATAAAACCATCCATATGTCTGTGTCTCTCTCACTGATGCCTCCAGAGTGTTCTGTCGGTGAATGATCTTCTAGCTAGTTATATGGACTTTTTCTAAACTATTATTCATGTAGCAAGAATCGTTGCAATAGATAGAACAGGATCAGTATAAAAATGGTATTTGGTAAATCATTCATACCCAGTTGTGATTTCATATATGTTTTTGCTCCAAACAGCAGAAATACATTGAAAAGCTGTACTAGGTAATGTAATTTAGACCATTTAGAATATCAGAAAATTAGACACACTGTAGGACTTTATTTACAAAAGGTCAATTATAAAAGCACAGCATTACTGCCCCAAGATAGTGTTGTTGAGTATAGGATACTTGTCAGTGCCACCTAGGGGTGCTAGTGCAATGCAAACTGAACTTTTAAAAATTACACCCTGCAGTGCATTGGGAACTAATGTCCATCTGACAGAAAACTATTATACCAAAGTTCAAATTATTATGGCTAGATAAAAATTCTTAGGGCTCATTAACACTATATGTAGCAACGTGTTTTCACATTACAGTTGCTGCATTAAGGCAGCCAATTCATTTTAATGGGCTGACAGTGCCCCATTATGCAGAAAAAAACAGACCTGCACCTTTATTTTCAATGCACTTAACCACAACACACAGATATTTTGCATTATGAAAAACACATGTGCATGGGGTGCCATTTAAAATGTGTGGAATACTAATGAATCACATCAGAGATTACCGTATGTGGTTTGGTAACAAGCGTTTCACTGGACATTATTGTAACTTCTGCTTATGAGCTGTGCTGCCCGGCTAATCTACAGTAAGTATTGTTGCTACTCAGCCCATTGGCAGGATATGAAGGAGTGCATAGCCCAGTGTGTCAGTGCGCACAGTAGAGAGATCCAGAATAATGCTGCAAATATGCTCCAGCTAGTTATCATATGACTCTGCCCTACAAGGTTCCCTGAAAGACCTGTGTAGTGATCATGAGGATCAGTGAATCCCTGTTTCAGTTTAACTGATGCAACAGACCACCTTGCATCTTGACAGGGGTATCAAAGGGCAAATGCTTGTCTAATCAAGTTCTTGTATTTAAAGCTTTCAAGCTGGACTCTGGCAAAAATCTAAAATTAACGTTGCAGTGGGCCTCCCCCCACAGTGCAAGGGTTGAATGCTTATTTTGTCTAGTATACCATTAAAAACAATTTAACTTACACTATATTGGCAAAAGTATTTAGACGCCTGCCTTTACACGCACATGAACTTTAATGGCATCCCAGTCTTAGTCCGTAGGGTTCAATATTGAGTTGGCCCACCCTTTGCAGCTATAACAGCTTCAACTCTTCTGGGAAGGCTGTCCACAAGGTTTAGGAGTGTGTCTATGGGAATGTTTGACCATCCTTCCAGAAGTGCATTTGCGAGGTCAGGTACTGATGTTGGACGAGAAGGCCTGGCTTGCAGTCTCCGCTCTAATTCTTCCCAAAGGTGTTCTATCGGGTTGAGGTCAGGACTCTGTGCAGGCCAGACAATTTCCTCCACCTCAAACTCACTCTTCCATGTCTTTATGGACCTTGCTTTGTTCACTGGTGCGCAGTCATGTTGGAACAGGAAGGGGCCATCCCCAAACTGTTCCCACAAAGTTGGGAGCATGAAATTGTCCAAAATGTCTTGGTATGCCGATGCCTTAAGAGTTCCCTTCATTGGAACTAAGGGTCTAAGCCCAACCCCTGCAAAACAACCCCACATCCTAATCCCCCCTCCACCAAACTTTACACTTGGCACAGTGCAGTCAGGCAAGTACCGTTCTCCTGGCAACCATCAAACCCAGACACGTCCATCGGATTGCCAGACAGAGAAGCGTGATTCGTCACTCCAGAGAACACATCTCCACTTCTCTAGAATCCAGTGGCGGCGTGCTTTACACCACTGCATCTGACGCTTTGCATTGCCCTCGGCATGGAAACCCATTCCATGAAGCTCTCTACGCACTGTTGTTGTGCCAATCTGAAGGCCACATGAAGTTTGGAGGTCTGTAGCTATTGACGCTGCTGCAGACAGTTGGCGACTTCTGCGCACTGTGCGCTTCAGCATGCTTTGACCCGGCTCTGTCACTTTAGGTGGCCTACCACTTTGTGGTTGAGTTGCTGTTGTTCCCAGTTGCTTCCACTTTGTTATAATACAACTAACAATGGCCGCAGAATATTTAGTAGCAAGGACATTTCCCGGATGGACTTATTGCACAGGTGGCAACCTATCATGGTACCAAGCTTGCATTCACTGAGCTCCTGAGCGTGACCCATTCTTTCACAAAGGTTTGTAGAAGCAGTCTGCATGCCTAGGTGCTTGATTTTATACACCTGGGGCCATGGAGGTCATTGGAAAACCTGAATCCAATGATTTGGAGGGGTGTCACAATACTTTTGGCAATATAGTGTACCTTATCCCTTGCTTCCCTGGCAGTTGGAGCTCTTCTTGCGGACACTCTTCTCATCGATGCTCCAGGTTGTGGAAGGGCCCTTCATGTCCTTACTTACATTGCAGTGCTGTTGGACCCACATTGTACGTGATCACATCAGAGTGGCCAGTCGAGTAGCGAAGAGAGTCGGCTTCAGGGAGCCAGTTGCACAAAGAGGAGGAAGCACGTCTAAATGAAGGATAAGGTAAAGAATACAGCTTTCTAATGGTACCCTAGACATATATAAGCGTTTAATATGTGCTGAAATATGTGCTTATATGTGCTGAAAAAACAATGAAAGAATGATTTGGAAAGGCAAATTAGTCATTAAGTCATTGTCACAATCTAAAAAAGATATCCCCACAGAAGGTCCCATGTCTGCCCCTGCAACTGCTACTGGGAAACCAAACAAGGGTGTCTTGCTACCACTGCTGAATAAAGGGGGAATGCAATTGCTGTTAAAATATTTTTGCAATGGCCTTGGCAGTGGTGATGGGACAAACTGGTAGGTGGAGATAACTACAAATGGAGAGTGTTTCACAAATTTTGACAGCACATATACTAAAACTGGATTATACAATGCATAAATTAACACAGCTCCTGCTCTAGGGTGAGACATACATTCTCTAAAGTACTGCATATTAGAACTTCTCACTACTTTCCCAAGAAAAGAGACACAAGAAGCCAATAAGTGATATACGTTTTTTTGTGAGTATGAACAACAATATACTGCAACTTGACAGAACTAATAGCTTGGAGGAAAAAGTCATTTCATAGCTTTGTACAGGGAATTGATGTTATACAATCCCAAAAAACTTGGGACGCTGTGCAAAATCTACATAAAAACAGAATGCAATGATTTGCAAATCTCATAAACTGATAGTCTATTTACAATACAATTAAAAGCTAGAGAAAAGTTAAAATTCTTTTTTTCTATACTCATTTTTGGTCAGTGATCGAAAATACCGAAGCCTGTATATCAGCTAGACTGCCAGGCAACAAGCATATGTAGGACATACAAGCAGTGGCAGGATACCTATTTATCTCAAGACAGGTTTCCTCTAAGAAAAGAGAAACAGGATGCAGAAAAGTATAGACACTGAGTAGCAACACTGTCCGGGCAATAAAAAGCTAACAGCATGAAAACAACTTCCTTTAAATAATATATTTGTGATTTAATATTCCCAGAGAAATCTGAAATTCTAAGGCAAATCCACAGTATTAGCTTATTTTTGGCAAGGAAATCATAACATAAAAATAGTCCAACTGAGTCATAAATAAATAGATCATCACTCCGTCTGTTATATCCCTGCACCAAGTGTTCTTGTTACCAATAATGACTATTAAATTGCTCCTGTGTTACTGAGATAAGGAAAGGGGTTTGTGTATCAGCATACACTGCAGTTCTCATTGTCATAAAGGATATAAACTATGATCTAAGTATTAGAAATGTTGTATAAACACACTGCATTTAGGCAACTGTTTATGATGATAAAGGCAATCAAGCACAATATTATATTACCTTAACAGATCAGTGCATGTAAAATTCCTGTTTAGCAGTTATTAGAAAATAGGAATTCCTAATATGAACACAAAATCAGCTTCTCTAAAAGACCAATAGGACTGGACCCTTAAAACACCCATTCTGTAAAAAAAAATTAAAATTCAACATAACATGTCTCCCGGAGCACAAGAAAAATATACCCGTTTAGTAATATCTAGCCCTGCCCTGAAATGGCATCCACACAACAATTCAAGTGTAGGAGTGAGAACTATGACCTCCAACTGACCATGGCTGAATTATATTCATATTTGTTGTTATAGGAAGAAAAAAGCCTCAGATATCGTTGCTGCAATAGCAGTGCAATAAAACAGGCTTTACTGCTGTAGCTACTGGGGAACATAGCACTTTGAAGAGGAAGGTGTGGAATATGTAAACTGCTGGGAGGAGGCATGCAGAGGCAATGGTTTATTGAAGTATGAAATGTTGTAAAGTTGGGACATTTGAAAATAATGCTATATTCAGTGCAATGTCAATTTTAATATGAAAAATATGACAGCTATATGAGAGCATATGTGGGTTGGTGTGATCTCTTCCTCAACTTCAAGTTGCCTTCTTTTACTGTGCTAAAAAATTAATGGCTGCATCAGCTTGACCCCAAACATATTGTGCTGTAGAGGTGCCATCATACAAACAATAACATTTCCTGATTCCATGAATTTGACTTTGCACCCAAATGTGGGCCCAAGAGTATTAAATTAGCCTGTAGAATCATGTTACCTTGTAAGATGACTTCAGGTTAATCCACAGAATCCCAAGGAACCCCCAAAACATTCAATAATCACACCGTTTCCTGCCACCTTGCATCCCAAATGGCAACTAAGGATTCTCACCCCTTTAGGTAGTCAACATGCACTTGGGAATTTGAGCCAGTTATCAACCAGGAGTGCTTGATAACTGACTAATAGCACTGGGGTAAAAATGTTGGGTTCCCTCTAAGTAGACCTTCTGGAAGTGAGTTGCCATTATATAAACAATAAAATGTAATGAACTTAATTTGACTTTGCACCCAAAAGTGGTCTAAAGTGTTTTCAATTATTCTGTGGGATCATGTTACCTTGAAAGGTAGATTCAAGTGCTGTCTCAATTTATCCACATAACACCAAGGCAACCCCAAAAAACAACAATCACTTCCTGCTACCTTGCCTTCCAAATGGTAACTGAGGATCCTCGCCCCATTAGGTAGTCAACAGGCACTTAGGAATTTGAGGAAGTTATCGACCATGTGCTCATAAGCTGCATAAAAGCACTGGAGTTTTTGGCTTTCCTAACACTCTGAGAATGAAATCAACCTCTCAATAGGCCTCTGAAAGTGAGGTGCCATTATATAAACAATATAATTTCTCAACTTAATTTGCCTTTGCACCCAAATGTGGGCTAAAGTGTTTTAAATTACCCTGTGTGCTCTAAGTGGGCCTCTGCAAGTGCTTGTTTTATGGACCAAGTTGAGCTCACAGGTTTCCTATAGATGCCAGTTCAACACCCATCTCACCTTTATTAACCTCTTCCTCATTAATGGTCTTTGTAAATGGATGTTTGACTGTTGCTGCTGACATACATTTGTGAAGCCACTGATCTTCATTATCTTGGCAAGATACATTGGCTTAAAAGTTTTTAGCATCCGAAACCCTCAGAAGTATTACAGTCACTCCCGGGAGAGTCACTCATAGTAGTGACATAGCAGCCAAAGAAAGGAACCACAGGGCTCGGCCAAGGACCAGGTAGACGACAATCTCAGAAATGTGGCAGATGCTGAAGATGTATTATTCAGCAGAGCTCCTGGAGACAGCAGGTATTAATTGTGTGAGCAGTGGGACTACTAAGTATTTGGCAAGGAGGACTTTCATTCAGAAATGTAGAAACTGACAAAGTCACTTTAAATCAGAGGTGATCTGGTAAGGGAAATGTATATAAATGCTTTTAAATGTTTTCAAAATATACCTTTTGAACTTCTGCTGAGAATACATCTTCTAGATGTGTAGCAAAGCCTTCACTTATCCATTCTTCCGTCCAATCACGTGCGCCAATGGCCAACCCAAACCAAGCATGTGCGATTTCATGGCTGACACGTGTCATGCAAAGCTGCTTTCTTCCAGACAGCACACTCTGAGACAGATAGATAATGTGTGGGCTGGAACATAAAAATAAAAAGCAAATTACATATTAGGCGGCAGTCTTGTTGTAGCATGAACATCTCTGCTATTATGTGTTCCTTATTTGCTATGTCGTATTATTATCATTAGCATGTGGATGCCAGGTTCTGACAAGCCCTCTACAGCAAAGACATCCTTAATAAAGAAAAAAAAAATTAAAAAAGCTTCACTTTCATTAAAGCACAATTTAAAGCTACAATTGACAAGTAAAAAACTTAATAATTTGCAATTATACACTTAGAAAATGATTTCCCTCCACGAGATACATAAAGCATCAATTAAACCCTGAAAAAGAAGTAAACATTCTGGATAACAGGAGAAGTCATTTTAGCTTATAGTTTTCCACATATTTTCATTCTGCCTAAATCCCAATTTAGTGCTGGTAAGTGCTTACAGAGCAGCAATGATAAAGACTGTGCACCAGCTAAAACGCATTGGCTGTTGCCTGTACTGACAAATAAAGAGGTTTTAACACATATCCAATGTGCTGACTGGATGTACTAACTGGGCTTACAGATTTTAAAAAATATATTTGGACTACACAGGGAGGAGCAACTAAACTGGAGAATTTGCAGTATGCTAAAATACCTATTTACATACAGTGTACCAAGACTTGCAAATGAATAACAAGTGAACTTTAATTCTTACAGGGTTACTCACAAAAGGGCGAAGAGTTAGGAGAAGGCAGGAGAAGTGAACAATCTAGGACAACATAGCTGTTATGGAAACATTCTCCAATTCTACTTACTTTACAGTTCAGCTATGTTGTCCTAGATTCTTCACTTCTCCTGCCTTCTCCAAACTCTTCACCCTTTTGTGAATAGACCTGTTAATATTTCTAGCCATTAAGGCCTCACTTAGATGGGCAGCTGAGGAGTGGTAAAATCGGGTGGTTGATGTGCGGTTTTAGTACTCCCCAGCCGCCCACTGCAATGTTAGTATTGTAGCAGGACAGAGCTGTACATACTGCCACGGCTGGGATGCTTTGCGACAAAAATTATACAGCATGTCACGTCTTGCATTTGTTCCTGCCTGACAAACATGACCATAGAGTTGTATGGGGCCAAGCCTCAACTGTGTGCCAAATGCTAGGCACACAGTTGCAGCACAGTAGTGTTCATCTGAAAATAATTTCCGTTGGGACTTTCACGTTTTACATGTTCACTTTTCCACATTTGATGAATAATTACATTTTCAGACTTTACAATCTATCAGAATATCATTTGGTGCACAAATGATGGAGTATCATGAATTAGCCAGACATGACATCCACTGTTTGCAATTACACTGGTAGGCTTGCACTGAGAGACTGAGAGATAGATAAATAGAGAGAGAGAGAGAGAGAGAGAGCAAGAATAATAGAAATCATAATGCGGCAGGAAGCAGAGCCTGTAAATGTAATGAACAAATATAGCTACTCCAGGTGCATTTTTACTGTATTTAGACAATATACCTAAAACATGAATTGACTGCATTATAATATTTATAATGGAGTCTTTTATATGATTTATTTTTCTTAAATGGTTAAAAATGTTATTTTACAAATAAACATTCAATAAAAGGAGCTTTGAAGAATTTGTGTTTGCAAAGCATACTGGGCTTTCTAATAAGTAAGCAAAACACTAGCTGCTCATTTTTTGACTGCCTCTCTCTAACTTACAACCTGCTTACACCATATAAGATAAGGAGGGAGGGGGTTGTGCCTCGTCTCCAATAGTAGTTCATTACTCAGCAAAAGTGGTGGAGATCAGCCTTGATTGCACCACCTGCTGGCTGCAAGTAATGAATATGACATAGGAATATAAAAATATATATAAATAGATTTAGTCAAAGAAAGAATATGCAAAACATTATACATTACCCCTAACTTTAAAAGTATCACATTTGAATGGAATTCATGTAAAAAAATGCAAAGATTAAAGATTCCTATTAATTGAATAAAAGAGATCGATTTGTCCATAACTGCTCATATTTTCCCTCCACATAAGGCACATGCCAACTGTCATTTGCCTAGTCTACAAACAGTTCTTAGACTGACCATGTCACTTGCAAATATCAGGCTGTAAATATGGATTGTGTTTAGTAAAGGTTTGGTAGTATCTTATGTTTTTAACTGAACTACAATTTGTGTTGTTCAACCCTATAGGCAATGCAAAACATAGTTTTGCCAGCTCAGGTTAACACAGTCTTCAGAACTCATAGAATATTTAAATTTGTTGCATTGTTTCTCGTGAGACCAAACAATCTATGATAAATATAGCAAGGCAGGAAGGAGGCATTATAACCCCCCAGGCTGTTTTGTCTGTTGCCTACCCTATCTCCTAAAAGATATCCTGAGTTTGTCTGTTTAATTTTAACACATTGAAAGCTGAATTTGCAGTCTATATATAACAGAAGGCAGTTTTTTTGGCTTTTTAGTACCGTGCGTTTTGTACATCACATCATTTATACACACACTGCAGTGCTAAACTCATATTCACTCCGTCTGTGAAGGTTTGCATTAATCCAGGTCATGGCATAGCTAGTAGTAGTTAATCACCTACACTCGCTCAAAATCAGTGTTTTACATGGTCCACGGTGTCCTTTTACTTTCCCAAGACCAGCTTGCAACTTCACAATAGATGCACAATGTCAGATTGCACGCCATGTTTCATACTCTACCTCTTGCTACACAACAGTTTTAAAGGAATAATGATTCATTTATATACCCAATGTACATGCTGAAAAGGGCATACAGTATTAGTAGAAAGGCTGAGGACACTTAGCTGTGTTTCTGTCTTCATTTTTAGTAATTATCATTATCAATGAAGAACCATCCCAGTATTGACTTTACTATCTTAATGGCACCTATTATAACTTCCAAAATATTTTATAACAAGAAGTTTCTAAGGAAAGCATTTATTTCATAAAGGTAGGAACTCACCTGCTAATGATCCATTGGCGATTTCAAATCAACCCTCCTTGTAGGAATATAACGCATAATTTTGTAACAAAGTCTGCTTATTCTCTGGCTAAGGCCTGAGCTAGCACTGTAGGCTTGTTCACACTACAGTTTAGACAGGTAAGATATTATAATTTAAGCTGTGTATACATTAGCAGATTACTAATCAACACAGAAAAGTGACCATAGATGGCAAAATTTGATACATACTGTTAGCCTGCCTGGTGGCCCAATTTAGACATGTATGGGCAGATTTTACAACTGGATATAGATATGTTCTTTCCAATACTTGTAATGGAAATATTGTCAAATAAGATGGTCTGCAAGATGTGTTAATAATTTACTATTTTTATGTTGTGAAAAAAAGACCCTTGAATATTTACTCAAACTGATTGGACAACACTTACACTTATTGCCTTAAATATACACTAAAGCTAAATGTATGGGGCGCTGGATTCAAAAGCTGTCAACACCCTCTAGGCCAGTGGTTCTCAACCTGTGTAACCTCGGGACCCACATAGCGACCCACGAGTTGAGAACCACTGCTCTAGGCCATAAAGTGAATAGGATAGTACAGCGTTTTCATACCTGCCGTTGGCAAATGATGAGACCGCATGCCAAGAACCAACTTTTGGCACATGACTAAACCTTAGAATGACTTAAGAAATAATTAATAATACAACATGTAAACTTTGCCAGGGCAAACATGATTCAAAATAGCCTGAGCAAATTACATTGTTAAGAATTTAGAAAAAAAATCCCTTCCCACAAACAATCTTCTGGCAAATGAGAAGTCAACCTACATCAGCTCCATAACAACAAGCAATTATCTGCAAAATGAATAAGCATGCAAATGTTCTAGTCTCTTTTTAATGCCTGCTATTTTATTCTAATTGACTCATTGTTGTGCAGATTTTCGATGTGGCAACAATTTCAAACTGTCTTGGAAAAACTGTTCTTATGCTTTGGCAATGAGTGCATATAAGGCAGTGGTTCTCAACATGGGGGTCGGGACCCCCTCAGGGGTCGAATGACGATTTGCCAGGGGTGGCCTAGCGGCTTCCGGCTACCCAGGGGGGAAGCGCTTTCTCTGCTCTTTTTTTTCGGACAGGGTTAAAAGTAAACCTGCCGCTCCGTGTGCACAGTGAGAGGGGATAGCAGTCTTCCCCTCTCACCTGTCACAGAAGTTCCAGCACAGTGCTGTGCTAGGACTCCTGTATTGGAGGTGACAGGGTCAATAAAGAGAACCTGTCACCTCCAATTGCTAATACACAGGGGCTTGTTACCTCTGTGTGATAGCAATGAAGTTAAGTGGAAAAAAAATAGATACAAAAATTATTAAAGAAATAGAAATAAAAGAATTACAAAAATAAAAAAGCGATTGAAAAGAAATAAGAAACAAATTATTAAAAAATAAGAAAATTATAAAAAATAAACAATAATAAGGTGAGAGTCCTCCTCAGCCCTCTCCTAGGGCAGCAGTGTTAGTTCTCCCGCCAAGCCGCCAGATGTCGCTGCAGCAGCCGCATCATCCCTAAATTTTACCGTTGGGGGTCACCACAACTTGGCAAATGTTACCAAGGGGTACCGGCCCTAGAAAGGTTGAGAACCACTGATATAAGGGCTAGTTCACACCAGAACTGCGTGCCTCTGCGCAGCTGCATTGCGTTTTTTCAGGTGCGTTCTAGTGCATTTGCATGCATTTTTTATGAGATCCGATGCAGCTAAAATAGGGCAAACAATATTTTTTCTGATTGCATTGGAACAGGCTGCACTGGTGTGAATAGAGCACCAGAAATCCCATGGGAAAGCATTGTGATGTATTTTGGCTGCCACTGCCAAACTGAACAGACTGCATCTGGTGTGAACTAGCCCTCATGGGACTTTGTTTTCAACTCTTAAGGACATTTTGGTTTGATTTGGTATTGGCACTTTGGCTTGATTTGGAATTGCACAACCAAACATACAGCATATAGCCTAAATAAAAACAACTCTACTAAACTGTACATTAATACATATTCACACGCAAATATACCT